TTATTGTTCTCAGAGCGAGAAAAGAAAAGAGCAGGAAGGTGGGGTAGATCCAGGGAGACTCAGGGGAGGTCCAGAATGGCAGAGCAGAAGCCCTTGACTGGCTAGAACCAGTCCTTCTTGTGGCCTTAGACTGTTACAGCTAGAAGGAACCTCAGGGCAGATCATCTGGTCCAACCCCTTTGTCCATCAGGTGTGGGATTGAAAGATCTGAGTTTTAAGTGCCTACTCTGGTTCTGACTAGCTTGTCTTGGGTAACTAGGTTTAGGGAACTGAAAGGTCACCTAATCCAATTGTTTTCTTTACAGATGAGCCCCAGAGAGATTCCAGTGCCTTGCCCAAGATCACACAGAGAGTAATTAGCTGAGCCAAGATTTGAACTCAAGTTCTTTGACTCCAAATCTAAGGCATTTTCTATCTCCCCCCCTCCCCCAACCCAGGCAGCCCTTGCCTTGATAGAAGCTGCTGCTGGCCTTCACTCTATAACAATCACATAGAGACCTCCTCAGAAACCTTGACCTTGAGGTATGATAATGGGCCCTCTACCCTCAGGGAACAGGGCTTGGATTCCTGTTTGTTTAAAATTAGGCCCCTTGCCAGTGACTGCTGGGCACAGACATTCAAATAACTTTCTTTAATATACACTTAAAAAACAACCCCTGAGCAGTTCTAATAAACAGTGTAGTGTGGTAGAAAAGCCCTCCGTTGGATGACCCTGAAGGAGCAGCCCCAGGTTCTGGTCCTGGTTCTGCCCCGACTGACATCTTCACCTTGGCTGGACCACATAGCCTTGGGCCTCGGCCTTCTCCTCCACAAACGGCATGAGGCAACCGCTCAGGTCCCTTTCATCTCCAGAAGTCTGAGATCAATATGAATCAATGGAAAGTCTCAATTATAAAATATTTTTAAGGAAATGTAGTAATTATTGCAAGTTTACAACAACTAAATTAGGCTAAAATTGTTGCCTGGTAGAGGTCCTCAGGAGTCATACTGTATTGACTGGGTTGGGAAAGTGTGTGATTAATATAGATCATCTGTGCTTGACTTGAGTAGAATGGTAAGAACCCTGAATTTAGAGAGAAAGGACCTGTGTCCAAATTCCAGTTTCTTTTACCTTTAGCTTTGTACCTTTGAACAAGCCACTGTTTCCTGGTTTGTAAAATGAGACATTTGGATGTCAAATGACACTTCTGTCCGTAAATCCTATGATTCTGTCAGGCTCATCTCTCAGTACCCTTTTAGCCCTATGTCCTTTTCTTAAATAGACATTTCCTCTGCAGTCTTACTTTTTGGTATTAATTTCTTCAGT